TATGAGAGATGGATCCCGATGTTTTGCGCAAAATAAAATTTCAAAATTCATTCAATTTATGGTTTATAGGTATTAAACAATATCTTAAGAGCAGGTTTTGGTATATTATATTACATGAAAGTATAAAACAATGCCGAGTAACACTAGCTTTTGAGACGGGGGTCTAACAGTTTTATCTCATTTCTATTGTTATTCATATGCATACCAGTTTTCAACGACTTTGTTTACATCGAGCCGCAACTTGGCCATTTTTCATATTTGCACAGAATGTGTATTTTAACTTAAACTTATACATATCCAAAGGACAATGTTGGCCAAGTTGCGGCTCATATCTAATAAAAAAAAAATGTCTCCAAACTAGGGTCGAGATAGCTACTAAATTAACCGGTCACCGAGCATCAGCGATTGATATTATAATCACCTTACTCACGTGACATTCTGCTGATCGATACGCTAACGCTTTCATTGAAAATTTCATTGTGTTTAAGTCTCTGTTGTGACAGTATCTATCGCGTACTTCCAACTTCAAACTATGGGAGATTTTTGCGCAAATTTTAAGATAAATAATGATGTCTCTTATTTAACTTTATGCTTTTCATTAGGGGTGTTTTGAAAAAATTCTGGTATTGACAGTGTCATTTAAGTAAGTACATGTATAGGCTTATGTCGCCTCTATACTATGGTCTGCAGAGCGATCGAGACATCTACCCCATCCCTTAACATTATAATCATTTAATAATTATGCACCATAAAATCCACACGATCTCTCTCTCTTCTCCATTTAAATTCGTAGTGCAAAAAAATCATGTGCCAGTGTTTACATTCCACAACCATGCGGTTTAAATATCTCCGCCTATTTGTGGATACCTTAGATTCGAAAGTGATCCCGTTCAAATTTCAGGAATTTAAGGCTTTTACATGTTCTTTTCAATTACATTTTCTTTAATTATAGAAATATTTATGACAAAAATTTCTAGAAATAAATATCAAAAGCATATGCTTGCACATTAATTATTGATTAATTTAGCGATATATTGTAATGTTAAGCTTAAAATGGTCAGCCGGAAAGGTTCCAAATGACGTTCTTAAGTGCACTCATTCTTTGATTTCAAGTACTTGTATATATTGCACTGTCAATAACTTACATTCATATGAAGTTCAAACTTTTGAATTGCCAGTAATATAAAACAGGTACAATATGCACTTTTTGTGTAACTATTGATGTCATAAAGTAATATAACTTTTTGGTCACTTTAACCCCTGCCCAAAATATCTAAGAATAAAGCATAGGCTTTTTTGATCTAGTACCTTATGAAAAAATAAATGACAAACTTGTAAAAAAGATTGACAATAATTATGTACATTTTGCTCCGCTAAAAAAAATTAAATAATTCTTTAAATCAATTCTTATCTAAAATAAATGAAAACTTAAATGAAAGGTTGGTGTACTTTCAACAGAATAAGAAGTGTACTCAAATAGATACAGAAAATTTATCTAAATAGGTTAACTTTTTTTATTCATATTTATCATTTGCAAAAAAAAAAAAAAATAAAAAAAAAAAATAATAATAATAATAATAATAATAAAAATAAATAAAAAATAATCTAAACAATAATTTCCATGTCCATTTTAATTTCATAAAGTAGGTATACATACAAAATAATGCTTAGTAATGCTATCTAATGCCAGCATTACACTGAATTATATGAAGTAATGTATTACATTACGATTACATGTAATGCAAATTTTTGGGCATTACACATTACTAGCATTACTTTCAGTTCATGTAATGCATTGCAATGCATTACCATAACAATTAGTATTACCCCAAACCTGTCAGTATTCTAATTGTCTTTCTTTCAAACTTTCGTTTCGTTCCCATGTTTGAGTTCAAATGGGATAGGTTGAAATTTACTTAAATTTTTATTTGCTTTGAAACTAGTGCTCAATTAATACAAAGTTTATATGAAGGCCAAACTAGGACTAGCACAGAATTTTCTTTATTCCGATAAAATTTCAAATTTTAAGTACCTTTCCCATTTTGGCATCTACAGTAACATCAGGAGTTTCTGTAAGATTCTGACATAGATTTAGGTAAATGGACAGATCCCGTGACTTCATTAATGATATATCACATGTCATTTCTTAAAAATGAGTTTCCCAAACGCATATCTCCATATCTAGATCTTGGCAGGGGTTTATGGCAAGGGTTTTAAATAAACAGGGGCCCGTTTTACAAAAGGACTTAAAACTTAAGTTAAAATTTAATTCTTCGTATAATTTTTTGATAAACATTATATCGAAAATTATTTTAACTTTTTAAAAGGAATGTGGTATGATATTTTTACACAAACAATTCCAATGAGAAATATCAATTTTGCAAAATATTACAATTATCTGAAGCTTTTGGTCTTAGTCGTAAGTTCTTTTGTGAAACGGGCCCCAGAACCTTGGCGTGTGTGTTTAATAAAAAATCTTTGATGTAATTTAATTATTTTGGCATTTCGTGCCGGCCACTTTTTGTCATAGTTTACATAGGAGCTGAATTGCTACAGTCACGGGTCTCTAGAAGTTGAACTCGTGCATATGCAGTGTTCAGTCACGAAATTGTTTTGTATGTGTTGTTCGATACCTAAGAGGATGCTCGATACGATCAATTCTTGAACAGAGGCAGGTAACTAGTAGATAAGTTGATGTTACGGGTATTTCCACAAGCTCGTTTTTTAAAAAAAAACCATTTTATTTCAGAAATCAAGCATTTTCCTGTAATCAACTCTTACCCTGGTCTAGTCGGAAAACTTCCAGGAAACTCGTTAATGTACGTTAAAATCAAACGTAAAAAGACTGGAATCAATGACTTTGGGATGTTTAACAACAAACTGGATATATATTTATTTGAACTAAAGGCATTTTCAAAGTGTTTTCCAATTAGCTAAATTCTAAACTGAATTACTTCAGTTAGGTATACAACATCAAACACTTTCATTAAACCATAGGCATTTTCCTCCACATCCTTAACGGGAAAGTGTTTTCTAATTTTTTAAATTTTTGAAATACACTAATTAGGTATACAACTTCAAACACTTCATTTCCGTACTGTTGACTTGCATCTTTTTCATTCTCTTTTTCTTTGGTCTGAGAATTTGTGAGACAGAAGACATAGAAAAAAAAACGATGCGATTAAGAAAAAATAGAAGTGCATAAATACAAATTTACAGAGGACCTTAACAGCTTAATCTCATTTATAAAGATAAAGATACATAAAACTTCACAAAATAGATTTATACTTAAGAAAACGATATAACGAAATAATTATCAGCGGTACAATTATCCAAGTACTGACAGCCTGTTAATCTTTTTCTTAATTTTTCCCCGATTTGGCAAGTCACACTTCAGTGTATCCATACTTCGTATTAATGGAGTTCTGACAGATATAGTTATCATGGATGTAATGTTTAAAGTCTCCCCACTGTAGTTATTGAAAGCAGAGAAAATGCAAGTATACATGTATTTTTGGTCTAAAGGAATTTTAAAGTGAAACAAAGACAAATTTTGAAGTAATTCCTCCTCACTATCATTGGTGAATTGAAAAATTCATTTTGTGCAATGACGAAGGATTAGCTCTCTAGTCTGTCATTATTCTTTTTTGGAGAGCTACAGTTATGCAGCTAACTGGAAGTCTGAAGGCAAACATCTGCCAGCGTTCCTCCACAAGATTGACCAATGGTTTATTTGCAAGATCTCTTATTCTTCACCAGCAATCATGAGAAAAGAGTCCTTAAAAAGAAGTTTTCTCATGATTGTTTCTGTCGTATATAAAATTAAATGTTTTTAATTTCACGCATACTTACGTAATTCTTAAGGATTGCTTCTTCTGTAATAATACCAGGGTTTTGATGTTTCCGTCAATATCAGATTTACTCTGTTCGACATTTCCCCGAAGATGCCATTTGGCATAATTCTTAATGCATGATATATCACTTTATACACATTATTAAAGAAATATGTAGAAATATTATGATATTTTGAAAAACTACGCAACAACTTTCACTTACAAAAGTAACTTTATCATATTTTTCAAAATAGAAAATCTATATAAATTATACAGAACCATAGAGAAAAGCTCTGGAGTTGTCGATATTGAATGTATAGACATCACATGCAAGAAAATCATCTTAGAGGGTTTTTTCCTGAAGACAATGCCATCCAATGAGTGATTATAATCATCTATGAGGCTTAATTAATCCTAAAAGGGATAGCTTTTTTAAATGCATTAGGTGTGCTGTAACTTACCTTTAACAGTCTGATTTCTAACCAATATAAATACAATAGATGATACTTCAAAACCCTTCCCATTGAACGTATTAGAAGCAACGCAAGCGTAAATTCCAGAATTGTTGGTTTGAAGGTTGTTTATCATCAATGAAGACCTGTTACTGATGAAGTATTTTATATCGTCTTCCCTTTTGTTGATAGATAGAGATAGAAATGTCCAGCCGTATGCTGGAGACGGATTACCGTCAGAAAGACATTCCAGTTTTAAATCATCACCGGTGTAGTATATGTCTTTGAAAGGTAAAAGTGTTATTATTGGCGTTCCCGGTCCATCTTCAAAATAAAAATTAAATTTGAAAAATAATAAATCTATAAATGATAGAGAATCTAACATGAGTATGACTGCCCCATCTAAGATTTACAAATAAAAGCCATGGCATCAACAATTTTTGCTAAAATGTTATAATAGTACCAATGTGTTATGGGCGTTTCGGCTTTGTTGGTACACTTCAAAAAAAGATAAAGTAAAAATAAAGAACAAATAATAGTACAATTTTAAACTGATAATAAAATGAACAATATGATGGGTAAATTTTAAAAAGAAAGAGTACACTTACAAAGCACCGATATTCTCTGTGAGTATCTCCCTGGTCCTGGGTCCTGTGTGAGATCATTTTGTGAAGAACAAAGAAATTTTATCCCGTTGTCATTTCTGGAAACTTTGTACTCTGTGATTACGTTTAGAAAAGTGGTACATTTCTTTGTTTTATTATTTGATGAATGTGAAGTGACCACGATTTCTGGAATATTCGTTTTCTCCGGGACTTTCCAGATCTTGATGTTTCCCGCCGGATTTCCAACATCAGCAGCACAAATAAGATGTACGGACTGATTCTCCTCCAACTGGTCCTGATGGTCCAAAACAAAATCTTCCGGTGATTTAGCTTCAGCTGTTTAAATTATATTTGTATGAGCTAAATAACAACAAAAAAGATTTTAAAAGGCAGAATAATAGCAATAATATCAACACAACGATATAAAAGAGGCATTTTTGAATTTAAATTTAAAATAAGACCATAAAAACTTACAAGGAAGAGGGAGAGTTTTCGCACGTTACGAGTCTTAACTCTACTCTTTGTAATAATATGTAGTACTAATGAGTAATGTTCGATACGTAGACTACACTGTAACAACTCTATACATACCCATGAGTTGGAGAAAATGATATATAGCATTTTTACTTTTATTTCCATGCATTTATTTAATTTATATTATATCTGTCTAAAGACAGAAGAAAAGATTTAACAATATTATTGACAAATTACCTTCAAAAGTAACTAAAGTGAAGCTTTCTTTCTGTTTATCCACAGGGTAGACAAAATACTCTATCCAACATTGATACAATCCTTCGTCACTGCAGACAACATCGTGGATTATCATTGTGGCACTGGAGAATACACTAGTATTTGATGTGATAAGTTTTGTCCTATTTGCAAGAACAGTAGCCATGTCAGGATGAATTAAGGGTTCTTGTCCGCCAGGAGGAGAAAACACGGCAACATCTTTAAAACTATTTCCTACTTGTTTTTGCCATTTAATCTCTCTATCTGATATATGTTCTCCGTGTTCCACGGAATAATTACAGCTTAGAACAAGGCTTGTGTCACTTCGAAATTTTACCTTAAGTTCAGGTGAAGTCGTTATGGTCAGTAAGGTTACACCTGGTACAAAATTTTTTATTATTTTGTATGTTATAAATAATTATATTCAAACGTAATTCACACTTTTGAGAAGCAAAATGATATATCAGCGTACAAAACCATTTATTTTATTTTTTACAATATTGTCTTTAATGTGAAAAAGAGCAGGCACTTATCAGGAGTTTTAAAAGAAAATTATTAATGTATGCATTCAGTAATTAGGAACTTGCAATAAATAGAGAGTTCGAAATCACAAATCTTATTACAGACACATACGTACAGGCTGTGTTTCTTTTTTCAAAACTAGAAATTTTGAGAAATTCATCTTCCACAAGCACTAAATTTTCATGGAGTGAAAAAAGGAGATTCAGTGAAATATATGGAGTAAGTACAGTGTGCAAGTTGGATAAACAAGAATATCAACAGTTTTAAAGTTCATCATTTCATAAGTTCCTTGGTCTACTAATTAGTTAAAGTGCAGTTACATATCAGATCCTAGGATCCATTGATTTCACTTACAATATTAATGAAAGTTAATAAAGTGTCCTGTACCAGCTTTATGGTTCAGTTTTAAATGAAACGTTTATGGATTTCTTAGAAAACAATACTAGTTTCCTGTTTATAGTTGCATATCAAGGAGATTCTGTTCTAAGAGGTCGCGTTAGAGCTAGAGATTGCTTTTACTCTGGAACTGAAATAACCATTAACGATACACAATTCTTGTATTCCCCCCCCCCCCCCCCCCCGCCAAATCACATTATTATCATTTCTATGACTATAATATACAACTACTAGTATGTTGCTGTAAAAACGACATAAAATATTGATTTGTATTAATTTCAGAGCGTGATTATTTTAAATTCTTTAAACAAAAAGTTCAGTAGCACATAATACTAGTAGTCTAGAATTTTCAATTTATTATGTTATTTTATTTCTATTATTATGTTATTTTATTTCTATTTTATTTTTATCAAAAATATGTTTTTAATGTTATGTAATTGTTAAAAAATATCAAATTATTTTAAAAGTTCTGTTGAAAGCTGTGCGCGAAAGACGTTATCTATGTAGTTGATTTTGAAGTCTTATTTTCAATATTTTTCAAATTGTAGAAAAGTCTCTCCCCCTTTCGTTGCTCTTAATAAATTCGTTTTGCAATTGACAGCCATTTGTAAAATAGGTAAATGAAAAGTAAAAAGAAGTCATACTAAATAAATAAATAACTCACTATCTATACACCATAATTTGCAATCTTCATTGGGTTAAAGGGTTACACTCTTTAGACATTAAGAAATTAGTTTTAAATAATTTTACCTCGACTGGATATAGGAGTATTTTTTTTAAAACTTACTCTTCTATTTTATATTGATTCCTGTTTTCATCCAAGAAAAAGTAAAAATTCTTGACACGTTTTACATGTTTTTAAATGCTTTTGTTAACATCTGATATATTCCTCATCGGGTATTTAAAAATTCGTTTGAAGTAAAAAAAAAAGTGCTATTGATTTTTATTAAGATGTGAACGTTAGAAAGTTAAAGTTATGAATTTCAGCGTATTAAAAAAACTGTTACAGAAGCAGTGCACCATTAATTAAAGTTAAATAGAAGTGGAGGTTCAAAGGTTTAACAAAAAATGAATAAATTCTTGCCTTTTATCAGGTAAAGCATAAGAATCTCAAGTGTTATCATCTTTTTGATGTACAAATCACAGAGTCACTGGCCTTTTACAAGATTATATGTATTCTTTAAAAGAAGAAAAATATATGCTTTATTATTGAAATTTTGATGTTCCTGTGTTCGAGATACAACTACTAATAAAAAAGAGCTGTATATTCTGTCGTCTCTATAATGCCATTTGAATTGTCTTCGCGCTGTGTTTGGCTGAGTAATGTACTGGGCGGGGTTTCAGACATATTTTCATTCCAATGAAAAAAAATGAAATGGAAATACAGGAAATATTAGGCTGTATTTTTTGTTTATAATGATGATCATTGAGTTTGTTCGTGTGATCATTTAATGCAACCTCTTTAGTCACCTGCAATCCAGTAACACTAATTACATGTGTACTATATCATAACTAAGCGACAGGGGCATAATCTTTTTATCTTTGGTTTTTTATTTCAAAAAGAAAAAATATCCCTTTTCCCATGAAATGTGGTGAAATATGATTTTTATCCGACGAGTTGTGTGTTTTTATTCCCGAGCCACAAATCATAGGAGATCCTTTTTATCCCCTGTTTTATACATCACTCTCAAAGTTTCACACTGATTTATTTCGGCGTCTATTTTAATTTACTTCACCGCCCTCATGAAAAACCCATTATGATGTCACAACTGAGGGGCATAACAAAATCCAATGAGTGATAACCAAGGAATAAACAGATGAAGACATTGAAGAGGTAACATGGGGTAAAATAAATTTATGCAACGTTTACACTAAATATTAAGAAATCAATGCTTATCATTATAACATGATAATGGTCAATTGTCTTATTACGTTGAATATTAAACAACAGATGAGTTTGTATGTTGTTTAATGTCCGTCTTGAGAATTTTTCACTCATACGGAGACGCTTCCACTTGCCGACGGAGAGCTGCAAATTTGTCTTATATTTGGCACTTAAGGTGATTGTGCAGTGAGGGATCTTTTTGTGCCAGCACCTACTGCGACACAGTACCTCGGCAAGTACGGTCTCATCCGAAACACTGGTCTCCACGTTGTTTATTCGCTACGAAAGCTTGCTCTGAGTACGGTCAATTTTTAAAGCGAGACATGCTTCTCACTAATAAGTTGATGTCACAGGTGTTTCATCAACCTCGTTTAAAGTCAGCATTTTGTAAATTCTATGCCTGCTATACTGACAATGTAAGTAAATATAATCTATCATTAATATATAATCGTGGGTCGTATTTTATGTGACTCTTTCATACTTTGTTTTTATATTGAATTTGACTACTTAAAATATTTTAACCAAACAAAAAATTTTGCCGGTCAATATTTGGTGTTTAATGCTGCTACACATCCGATCTAACCTCTCAAATCTCCAGGGGTCCGTGTTTGGTGCCCGCTTTACAGATTTGTATTGTTTACGGATTTGTTTGGAACCAAATCTGTTCTTTTCATCCTTTAGACATGATGCAGAACAAATAATTACCTTTCCAAAATAGTGTTAAATCTACGAAAATTAAATACTAGTAATCATGCTTATATTAATTTTATTGAAAGTTGCTAGATATTTCACTTATCTTTCTGGACTCAAAACGCAAAACTAGGAAATATAAATACAGAAATTTGAAGGTTCTGCTGTGATTTGTACCAGGAAGTGTTGGAAACATATTTCTAGTGTAGCCTTTTCAGGCAATATTGAAAATGAGGAAATGGTACTATCTGTTAAAATGTTCTCAATTAAAATTATTTCAAATCTTTTAATTATAATTTTTTTTATCAAATTTTAGCCTTAAACTTTAATCTTAAAATGAGCATACACTTTGGAGTCCCAAGAAACCAGAGTGCTGAAAAATGTGTTTATCTATATGAGGTATGGCTGTAATAAACTGTCTGACTACTGGATGTACAAGTAATAAATATCTTTTAAAAAAAAATGCAACTGTTTACAACCATTCAGCCTTACCTGAAATGATATTTCCAATTAAAATGTAAATCTTATTGGAATGCTGCTTTTTGATTGTAGATTTAAACAGTCAAAGCAAATAAATCATTCCACTTTGTTTAATGATAGTGACTTTTGATTTTATTTTGTACATTGTAAATATTTGGGAGCTTCAGGACGTGAACAGTAGAATGGTACTGTCTTATCACAGGAAAATTCACCTTCAAAAAAGATTTTTTTCTACTTCGGCTGTGTAAGTTACTGGGCATAAAAATATTAATAAACTTTAACTGGATAAGGCTTAAAAGGACGCAAACATTTTACCAAATTTCCTAAATTCCGACAGAATTTCGTCAAATGTGAGATAAACTGTCCGATTTTTGCACGTTCAGTTACATCAGGGGATTCTCTAAGATTCAGACCTGTATATAGGTGAAAAACAGATCCAGTGACTTCATTTATGGTATATCACAAATCACTATAAAAGTAATTTTCCCAGTTTCGCGTCCTCTTGTTTAGAACTCGGCAGGGGTTTCTTGCAAGGGGTTTCATAGCATTACTGGGAAATTAACAAAACTTTCTCGAATGGATTTTATAACACCTTATCATGTAGTTTATACAGGAGCAGTCACGGGTTTCTGGAAGCATGTGCCGCGTCGAAGTCATCGGACTTTTTTGTGCGGTTTATCAAATACCTAATAGGATGCTCTGAGTATGATCAATTCTTAAACAGAGGCAGGCTCCTAACAGATAAATTGATACTAAAGGGATTTAAACAGCCTCGTTATTAGAAAATCAGCATATCCTCAATTCCATGCTTGTTATTATGATTTGTTAGCACAGAGTTCCCCATGATCTGTTTCACTGTGCTGCAAGTCAGACATAACATCGTACCGAAGTCATTTAATTGATGTAAATAAATTGCTTAAAATTTTCAACATGTTCAAGGAACTCAAAAGTATTTTACTACATGTTTTCTGAAGTTTATTTTTTTTTTGTAATTCGGTAATTCGATCAAGAAAACTGACAAATAAACATCAGGGCAAATTTACTTTCAAAAGTGTAAGGTAGTCCGACTGTATCGACCAGAATTTCCAATGAACATGTGTTTTTACTTTTATCAATATGTACGACCATACCATATGTGCAACGATTTAGCGATTTTGAGAAAGGGTGTGTTTATGTATTCGTTTGTAATTATAATGAATAGTGATTCAGTTGCGAATTTGTTCGGGAAAATACCGCGAAATTTTAGTGCTTAGCGTAAACTCTGCAACACAGTAAAATTTAAAACGATGGAAAACACTGTTAGCAAATACCTAGCATATCATTGGGTCTTTTTGGCTGTTAAGGTGGAATGACCCTCTGATAAGAGAGATAACTCTTCTGACAAGAGAGATAACTTTCTTCAGACATTT